TTCCTATAAAAATGTGGATAAATTGTTAAATAATTAATGAATAAGAAATTAGGATTTTTCTTAGAGTTTTAAGTACACATGAGATCTTTTTCATAGCTTGCATGGTTGCTAAGAAATTAAGGGATGGTGACATTCATAATGCATTATATTTGTGTTGAATGATTACATGGAGACGATTTATATCAAGTACAACTGCATGAAAAATAATATATGTGATTAGAAAAACCTTAATTTAAAGAGGAATTTGTTTTAAAGATAGTTTTTTTTTCAATTAAATTAACCCGTTTATATCGATGAGCATTTTATTTGAGTCTATTAAGAACAAAATTTATTTGAATAAGCTTCAGAATGATTTTTGAATAAAATTTAAATAAGCCTAAGATTATGTTATTTGAATGCCATTCAAAAAATATGTGAATAAGAATCACATAAAAATTTGAGTAAGATTCAAATGTAGTTGAAATATGATTAAAACATTATTGGAACAAGTTATAACACAACAAAATATAGCTTTCATATATTATATTACAATTACAAGAGCTATAACTTTTTAATATATAAGTTTATTATATTAAATTTTAATCTTAACATTTATAATAAAACATAATACAAGCTAATTTTTATAAAAAATTAGATGTGCTCATAGTTCTATTCAGAAATTGCTTCTCTATATTGACTAAGAGGCGAGAAAAACCAAATTACCTATATAACATTTGAACTTTAATATATAACATAGCTTCAACAAAAATTTATAACTTTAATATATAACATTATAAAATGCAATTAGTCTAATGAACCTTATCTAACTTACCTAATTGCTGAATTTTCATATTTCTATTGGATCAATGCAATTTCGCAAAAAAACAGAGAGAACAAAACAAAAAAAAAAAAAAAGAAAGAACAAAAGGAAAATATCATCAAACAACAGTGAAAGCAAAAAAACAGAGAGAACAAAAGGAAAATATCATCAAACAACAGTGAAAAAATTGAAGCAGAGGCAATGAAATTTAATTACTATAATCCAACAAGTCTAACTTATCTACCAGCTGATCTTTCATTATGTTCATATGGTTCATGCAATTTGTCAGGCATGCATGGAGAACAAAAGGGGAAAATAATAAAATGGAAACAATAAACTTATCAACATGTAAAGCAAGATAATGATAAAATAATAACCATCATAGCATTAAACCACCCAAATGGAAAAAAAAGGAAAAAAGAAAAACATTCAAACCACCACCACAGAGAACAAATGAGATGGAGAGATACTTACATAGATATGCAGCGAGAGTCGACGACACCAAGAATGGTGGAGGGGAGAAGGGTTTTGGATTTCTGCTCTAAAGACACAAATTACGACCGAGAATGAGAAGGAGATGAGAGGTATTTACAGGGATAGAAGGAGGAAATTTAGATATTAAAGAGGAGTAGCAACAACTTTTCAAAGTCAAAATCGAGCTTGAACAACAGAACGTAGCCCCTCCCGTCGTTGTTTCATCTTTCACTGATCCACAGTCGGATGCCATTGAAACGCGTGTGATAAGCGAGCTCCCAAACACGATTTTCTTCGTTTTGGGGATGAGAAGCAACAAAAACAATGCCCTAAATGTTCGCTTAGTTTCAACAGTGACAATGGATTATATTAACCAAATTCATAACATTCACTTTTGAGTTCCTATTGGATTATTATGTTGCATAAAAGTGATAGATTTTATGTGATTTGTGTCTTATAATTGAAGAGATTTTAAGAGGACTTGAAGGATACAATTCTAAAAATGGTTTAACAATTATTCTATAAGCATAATAAGATTTAGTAAAAAGAATATACAAAACTCAAAATTCCTTGATGGATGAGCTCTACAAAA